GGCACGTCCAAGCCCATTGCCTCTGCTTGTTTCCCAAATAACACAGGGCGAGAGCAACCACTCACAGTTGCTATAGATAATTACAAGTTGATTTTATTGAGAAAGTGAGGAACACTATACTTATGCAATAAAAAATTTATCAGACTTACAGCTTCCCTCCTCCCTACCCAGCCCAAGGGGGAAACAAACCTTCAGCAAAACATTATTTTAATGAGCACATTTCAAAGGTGCTGGATTTATGGGAGACATCAGGAAACACTGATTGCAATTACTGTCTCTGTTTGTCGTTCAGGACTTTATTGGTGCCACATTGAGAAGCGTGCTAGGATGAAAACTGGTGGGGGAAACAGTCAAGCGGCCTGTTAGCCTGTAAAGATGATCACTTATTAGAATAACCACACTCAGCAGTATTGAAACCTCCTGAAAACCGTTCTTTGTAGCTTAAAATCATTTTTTTTTAAAAAGTTAAGTTGATTTGACCAGAGAGGGACATAGGAAAAAACATCTTAAAATATTTCTATTCTTTTTTTTATATGCTACTTGCTACATCTCTTGTCACTTGGATCCACTAGAATGAAGCAGCCTGAAACGTTGGGGTATCACGAATATAAACGTATGATTCTCAGATCAGTATTCTTTTGCGAAGTTGATCTGGATATCAGATAATTTCGCATTAATTACGTTGTGTGCTAGCGTTAAGCACGTTACAGTAGCAAGTGTTTGTCACATTACATCGCTTATTTTATTCAGCCTTGGCTTCTTTACTAATATGTGCAGTAGACATCGCCATCAGATCACAAATATCAAGACTCTAGAGCCGGGCTTGGCAGATGTTTTCTTTAAAGGGCCAGATAATAAATATTTTCAGATTTGCGGACTTTAATGGTCAGTGTTTTAGCTACTCAGCCCTGCTGTTAAGCATAAAAGCAGCCATGGACGGTATGTGAATGAACGGGTGTGAGTGTGTTCCAGTTAAACTTTATAAAAAACAGGTGATAGGCCTGATGTGACTGTGGGCTAGAGCCAAGTCCACAGACTTCCATGGCTGTAGGGGCCAGGCAGGTACCCCAAACGAATGAAGCGGCCGACAGGACTGCCACCGGCAGAGAGCACACGGCATGCCTCGCGTAAAAGGGGCAGCTACTTCTAACTTGTAGGCACTTATGACTGACTCAGTGATACCAGATATTATAATTCAAGAGCAGCTGGAAATGGTTGATTTTATGCAAAGTACTTTTATCAGTTGGCAACTAATTCAGATTTGCGAAGGGAATACAGCGCAGCTCAAGCCGTATCCCTTTGCGAGCTCCCTCTGATCCTGGGAATCTGGTCTTGCGCATTCTGAGGTGTAGCTGTGTATTATGTATAAATAAGAACCACCTGGGCAGTGTCATCAGACATGGATAGCAAATAATCGAGCTCTGATGTCGCTAACTAACCCTTCGAGTGCCTCCGACAGACATCGGTCATCGATCATACTCTTTCCTGCAAAGCCTGGAGACAATTGCAGAATTCTCCACCGGGGCTCAAAAAAGCCACAGCCAATAAACTAGTTGTGTCCCCTGATATGTAAGGTATTTGTCATCCCCGTTTGAGAGGATTCTCCTTAAAATTGTTTTTGGGATTAACCTAGAAAATGTCTTTGGGCTTTTTACTATATAATTTTATTCTGGCTAAAAGTTGCTCTTAACTAGAATATTTGAGAAAACATGTATCAGAAATAACAGATATGAAAAAAGATAAGATTCTGATCATATGGCAGTATCAGATTTTAGATTCAAACCCAGGGAATTACAGAATATCCAAAGTTGGACGTGTCTTTAAAGGTCACTTAGTAGCGTTCCTTCTTTCAAGAGACCATGAACTTGAATTTCTGGTCTGATTTTTTTCACCATGCCTGTGCAAAGTAATGTGAATGAATAATTATAAAGGGATGTTCCTTTATTTCCCCCTTCTCTTATTAACTGTGACCCTTGTTGCATAGTTACTGCAGAGGAAGATGTCCAGAATTTAGGGGTTCTGTGTATGGGCGTGTGCCGTCTGCAATGCATGTACTTCTGGGTCGTGGATGTGGCACGTACCTGACGCAGCCTAAGTAAAACATGCTTTATTGTTCACTTCGGTCACATAAAACTTTGCCTCTTGTCTTCTCACTTCTTACTCTGCCTTCTAAGCGAGTCTCAACCCTACTTGTTTTTCGAATTTGATCTCTAAGAATTCTCTGATTGTTCGAACCCCCATTGAACCTGTCTCTTCTCTAAACGTCTTCAGCATCGAGACCTGTACTAATCTAGCAGTGTTATGCCTTTTACGTTATTTTATTTAATTTGCGGCATTTTCTTCTCTTCCTGAATTAACGTTTTCTTTTCCTGCCGTCCAGCACTGCAAGGACTGTGAATGTCGTGCCCTGGAAGAACATTTTGTCTTTAAGCAGTTAGTACAGACGTTCCTCGAATGCTTTCTGTGTGCCAGTTTCTAGGGCTCTAATTGTAGACGAAACAGAAAAATGGCCCCTGCCTGCCCTTGAAGACTGGCACCTTAGTGGATTAAAGTCTCATAGAAGTTAACCTGTCCCCTTACTAGGAATCCGTGACAAACACTCCAATTACACTAGAAAGGAATTTCCACTGGGGCCCAGCTCTTGGATTCGTTCGCTGATAGGGCCCTATTGCCTGGGTCAGTGTTCACTATGTAGCAAGTGCTCAATAGATATGTCTTAAATGAACTTGTACAAGTTTTCATGTAGGGCTGTCCCTGTAGGACGTAGCGTAGGCAGATTATAGTGTGTGCCTTCTCCTTTATGTGTCCCTCCCACTCCTGTGCCCCAGACACGTTCTCCTCTCAGCAAAATCAGTTGTGAGAGTGAGTATCCTTCTTGAAATACTATAGGTGAGTGTATGAGCGCACGTGCACACACACACACATATGTGTTTGTATTTTTCACACAAACTATAACCTATTAGTTTTTTTCTCTTAAAAATATATCATAGTTTTGTATCGGTGCATATAACTTTCAGTGGCTACGTAATATTTCATTGCCTGGACATTTCATAATTTATTTCACCAGAAACTTACTGATGGACATCTAGGTTCTCTGTGATCTTTTGGTCTTATAAACAGTGCTACAATACCTGTCTTTGCTCAATGTCGTCTTACAGCCTGTGCAAGTAGGAATTTTGGCACACATTCATGAGAGTGGAATCGTGGAGTTCTCTAGGTTCAGAGGGTTTACGCGTTTGGAATTTTGATAGGTATTGAGAAATTGGCCTCTACACAGTTTTTGAGCATGCCATTTTGCTAATACCACATTTTATCAAAGTGTTTGCTCTTTTCTGATCTGATAGGTGAAAACTCTCTATCGGGGCTTTAATTTGAATCTCTTGTGTGAATAAGTTTGAATGAACATCTTTTTATATGTTTACAAACTCGTTTGCTTTTGTGTGTTTCGTCTTAATAACTTTTGCTCATTTTTCTATTTGAGTATTGGTGTTTATCTTATTGATGTGTAGGAGCTCTTTGTATATTAAAAAAATCTCCTGGCTATGCTTGCTTGTTTACGTTTTTATGCACATTGTATAATCAGCTCGCCTAGTTACCAACCCCATTCACCAAAATAATCAGTCCTATAGATGAATTTAGGGAGAACTACCATTTCCAGGATGTTCAGTTTTATTTCCCAAGAACATAATATGTCACTATTTTGTTTAAATATTCTTTCGTGTTCTTCAATAATAATTTCAAGTTTTTCTTTATGTAGAGAATGCATGTGTAAAAATCTTACTAGATATTTTTATGTGCACAGTTTTGTAGCTAGCATTTTCTTAATTTGCTTATTGCTTGGGATATGTTTTTTCTGGTTGATTCGCAGATAAATAAGCATGTCGTTTGCAAAAGAATATTTTTTCTTTTAAAAAAACTTGTACCTGTTTTTGTGTCTAAACGGGACTCCTCTGTTATGCAACTCCAAAGGGCACCATTGTGTTGGCCGTGATGGGTCATTGTGGTGATAAACGGCATCGTTTTCTGATTCTTAACTTTGGGAATGTTTCTGATGTTTCCCTATTAAAATATGATGCCGGCATTGGGCATGAGATAGATCAGTATCCTGTCAAGGAACTCGCCACCTATTTCTATCTTATTGGGGATTTTAATCATGAAAAGATGTATTTTATTGAATACTTTTATGTATCTTTGGTGACTCGTGATATTTTTTCATCTAAAAATATGATTAATTTCAAGTGTGAGTTTTTGCTTCTTGAACTAGCTTTGTATTCCTGTAATAAGTTGTACTTGGTCTTGGGCCGTTATTCTTTTAACATGCTGCTGGATTTGGATTCTATTCCCTTATGTCGTTCTTAGGAATTTTGTGTTGATTTTCAGATGTGAGACTGGTTTCTGTGTGTATGTGTGTGTTTTGAAAGCATTTGTGTATTTGTGTCTTTGTGTGTGTGTGTGTTTTGTTTTGTTTTGTTTTGTTTTTTTGGATTTTCATATACATTATTCTATCTTCATGAAAAGAATTTGGAAACTTTTTCTTCTCTGATCATAAACAATTTCAGGAATACCGGTTACCCACTCCTTAACTGTTCGGTAGAATTCTCCTTTGAAACTCTGTACACCTGTGTTTTCCTGAGTGCTAGTTCTTTGACAACTTCTATACCTTTTGTATCTTGTTTAGCTTTTCTATCTCTGCTGGTGTCGATTTAAGTAATTACTGTATTCCTAAAAACTAACCATTTAATCTAGATTTTCTAATTTCTTTGCAAAGAATTGAACCTTTTGTTTTCCTTGGTATCCGTGGTTATTTCCTTACCATTTTAAGATTTTTTGATTTAAAAATAAATGACATATTAAAAATATTCTAAAGAATGCGTTTTTAAAAATATACATGAGGATTTTTTTAAAAATTAAAATTCAGTTATTCCGAAGATAACCGTTATAAAACTCAGAGCTTTTAGATGAAGCATTTCCTTTCTGATCTGTCCCTTCTCTTCCAACAGGCCCTGAAGAGGAAAGTGAGGAGGACCCTCAGCTTGAAGGCAGAGATCCCGATATCTGGCATGTTGGTTTCAAGATCTCGTGGGACATCGAGACACCTGGCTTGGCAATACCCCTTCACCAAGGAGACTGCTATTTTATGCTTGGTAACTAGGCTATCGATGCTCTATTGCCTAAGTTTTCGATTATTGGGTAATGTTTTGAATATGTCTTTTGAAATGAAACTTTTTAAGTATTTTAGAGTAATTATGAAATTTCTACATCTAACTGGGTTTTTTTTTTTTTTTTGATATGCTAATTTTTCAGCATTGCTTTTCTTTCCATTCTCGGTGTTTATGGAGTTTCCTAAATGTGCCAAACAATTTTCAGGAGTCTTCATCAGAGGCACTAAGTCATCTAAATCAACTTATCATTGTGAAGTTTTAAAACTATTTCCCTGTCTGCGTAGGGTCTTAGTGACGAGGGATTTTTCCAGTTTTGAATTTAGTTTCTTCATGAGAGCAGCTGAGCTGTCGGCAGGGCCTTTCTCCCCACTTGTCATTTAGAGTGTTGGGAAGCAGTATTTCAGCTGTGGTTACGCTAACCGAAGCTGTGGAGTTTGTGGACCTTTGTTTTTCCTTATTTGCTCTAAGTTTTCTGTTTTGTTTTGGGACTTTCTTTCTTGCGTTTTGATGCACAATGTACCAGTCATGTCCTTTCTGACTCATTAAGCATCTCAGAGTGTATTCTCTCCTTGGCTGATTGTTCTGACTCTTATCTGCCTGGGGGAATCCGCTCATGTGTTGGTTTTAGAGCTGGGAAGCACCCAGACTCAAACCCGATATTTATTATAAGAATGATTTCCTAATTAATTGAGTGTTTGTAGAGGACCCACCGTGTTTGACACACTACTTAAAGCTCTGGAGGAGATACTGGGGATGGATCAGACTTGGTCCCTGACTCCTAGAAAGTCAAAGTTGCAACAGCTCTTTAGGCATCACCTATTTAAGTACTTTCCAAATTTCAACCGTTCGTTCATGAGCTTCGAGGTTCTTGGCGGATCCTTGTGCTACCTTACTGTCCCTGACATAGTATTACTCTCTAAATTCACTTTTTTCTTTTATCAAAATGCATTTATTTTAGCAGATTTTATATCACTATATTCAATGGAAAACCAGTATTTGGCTTTTTTTTTTTTTTTGCTGAAGATCCCGAGTCTGAGTCTGTTCTGTCTCTGTGATTAAAAAGGGAGCTTAGCGGCCGTTAGAGAGGTGTTCGTATGGTACCTGAGACATGCTCTTTGATACCAGCAGGAACGTCGGAGGATCATTTTGTAGGGAATGACTCTCTCACAGTGTGGTTCCCTGGTGCTTAATGCTGTGTCTCTTTACCTCTTAAATATCTTCTCATGGGCTGATTCCTGCATCTGCTGAACACAGAGCCCAGTGAGCCCCGCATCTCCCGCCTTCCGTTCGTACATGGCTTTACCGTTTTACAAGTCACTTTTCCATAAGCAGCCTCATCCAGTCTCCAAACGACCGTTGGGCGAGGTGAGTGGAGATTGTTATGAGAGTCACTCGGCCCCCCCCGAGGCAGCACAGGGGCCAGAGTGGGTTTCGGGTTTCATACACACGTGGTCCCTGACTTAGCATCGTTCGACTCACGATTTTTTGACCTTACGGTGGTGCGAAAGTGATGCGCATTCAGTAGAAACTGGTCTTCAGGTTTCGAAGTCTGATCTTTTTCCGGGCTAGTGGTGTGCGGCACAGAGCTTGCTCTCTGGTGATGCAGGACAGTGACTGTGAGCCACATCTGGGTCGACAGCCAGCACCGTACAGTGTGTGTGCGCATTGCGTTAGATGATTGTGCCCAACTGCAGCTGACGTTGTGTTGGGAGCACGCTTGTGGTACGCTAGGCTAAGCTCTGACGTTTGGTAGGCTGTTGTAGTAAATGCATTTTCAGCTTACGATCCGTTTATCGCTTCGTGACCCCATCGTAAGTCGAGGAACCTCTGTACCGTGTTTTTCCACTCTAGAAGGGACCACGTAGACTTGATCGCTGTCCACAGAAATCCCAGCGTGGGACGTGTTCAGGGTTAAATTCATACCTCCCCCTGCCTCTCCCCTGCCTGCGTCGGGAACGGAGTTTCTGTCCTGAAGCCTCCGCTCCATCGTCGCGCATCATTTGTAGATAAAACAGAGCATTATTTCATTTTTCAATGTACTGCCCAGATTTGGATGTTTACCTTGAGTATCAATGGGTGTTAATTTCAGCCAATAAACTGCTTTCCTTTGGAAACTTAGTTCAGGAGTTTCTATCAGCAATTTGTATCATTGAAAGAAATGAGAGTCAGAGTAGTGCCATCTTAATTAATTTTCCGTGTCTAAAACTAGGAAATGCATGTTGTAAAAGTTCAGCTACCTTCCATTTGTTTATTAACATCTCATTGCAGGAGTAATCTGTCCTCATTGTTGAGAAAAGAGACTGAAAAGTATAAATGAAAGAATATAAAAATCAGGTTCACGCCTGTTTTAATATATATTTTTTTCAGCCTTTTTTGTAAATACACATATATGTCCGGAATGATAGTAGTATATGAATTACAACTACATTTATTGGGGGCTAACAAGAAGTCAAGCATTTTTTTTCATCTTCTCGATCATCCTAAAAGTAGGCATTAGCTATATTGCAAGAATAAAAATTAAGGTTAGGTCGATGTCGTCACGTAGCCACGGTTACACAGCGGGTGAGAGGCATGGACCGGAACTTGTCATTTTGTCCTGCTCGGGCGCTGACCCCACTGTGGGCTTCTGCGAGCCCCTCTCCCTCCCCCAGCGCGGTGCCTCTGCCTCCCGGGAAGGCTTCAGGACTCAGTCGTTCAGGAAGGAAGGGAAAGAAGAAACGACAGTGGTTTGTGGGCTTCTTCTTTTTCATTTCTTTTTAAAATTAAGGTTTTTCTTGTCTCAGAAATAGAATAATGAAATATTAAATGCACTGTCCTTTTAAATTTTTTTTTAATGTTTTGAATGTTTATATTTTGAATATTGTATTACAATGCACATACATTTTAAAATATACATTGGTCCCTTTAGCTATTGTAGGTGATAAACAGAAGTATTATTATTTTGTTGGAGCCGATATCCAAGACGTAATAGCTACTTTCTCAACTCGCGCCTTCAGATATAGGTGAACTAGCTGGTCCCTCACTGACCTGGGCCACGCACAGTACAATGTTCCCAAAGTTTGCATTTAAAATTTTTTTTTTTTTTTATGAAGATATATTGGATTTCTAAAATGAATTTTCGTCCAAATCCTCTTAAACAAAACAAAACAAAACTAAATGCAACCAGGGTCGACTGCTGCCTTTTTCCTTTACTTTTGAAAATCCAGATACTGTAAGGAGCCCTATGGAGAGACGTCAGCCTTGTGCCGATATCTGAAATCTGAACTTCATAGCACTTACGAAAAGGAAACAGTTTAGCTCAATTTATAATAATATATTGGTCTGCAGAGGAAGTGCAGGCTGAACGCTGCTGTCTCAAGTGAGTACTCCAGGGGTGTCTGATGGGGAGCGTGTCGGGTGCTCGTCATAAATCCACGGCCTGTGGAAGCGAGCGGAGGCCCTGCTGGCATCGCCTGCGGACACGCTTAACTGGGGTTGTCACGCTTCTACTTTTAAATTGGAATCTTTGCCCTAATCTCAAAGTTAGACATGACCAGATTTGCAAACAGATTTACAATTTTCACTAATTTTCCAACCAGGACTTCAAAACACACTTAGAGTTAAAAAAAAAAATAACTCTGGTCTTTTTCAGAGCAGGGTGATTTACTCTGCCCCAGATGGTTTCCATAGACTGAATGTAACCTGGGCGTTAGAGACTTAAAAGTGGCTGGGAGAAAAACGTTTTCTTCTTCTTCTTTTTTTTTTTTTTTGGTGGAACAGATTATACAGTTCAAGGGACATCAACCAAATGATGTTTATTAACCAGGAGTCGGGTGTGGAGGTGGGTGTTTCAGGACAAAGGTGAGTGCTAGGTAAATAATTGGGGCAAGCCCCTCCCCCCTTAATGTATTATTATTATTATTATTATTATTGTTATTATTACTTTTTAGGTGCCGATATTCGTAACTTTGTTCCATCTGGTCTCTTTATTTCCTTAAGTCCAACCGAATCTCATGTTCAAATACCTATCGTTACTATAACAATCAGTTATTTGAAAGCTTCCGTTGCCCAGTAAAAATTCCCCTGCGGAAAAAGAAAAAAAGTCATACGAAATGAGATCCCTAGTCTTTCTTTTTGGGATTTACTTTAGCTCAGCAACAGTTTGGGGTAAAATAACAAGCAGGCCATGGGGTTTTCCGTCAGGAGACCGGGTTCTGGACTCGATCACGGTCTGCTGGGGTGGCGTTGTTAGCGCCCCCGAGTCTGTGTCTCACCGTCAGACTAGTGGTAACGACATTTGCTTCCCAGGGTTATTGTGAGGCCAAATAAGAAAGTGAAAGGGAACGGGCTTTGCGAACTACGATTCGAATGTGGAGACTCATGACGAGACGCGGGCCCCGGGCCATGGTTACCGGCGAGCTGATGCAGTGAGCGGGTGACACAGAGAGCGAATGTGGTGCCCTCATCCCGCTCCACGCCCCGAGTTTTGCCAGCTTTGCACCTAACTATTCCGTACATATAATTCCGTAGCCCATAAAGTGACTTGGGGGCATATCTACTTGAGAGGGGCAAGACCAGGAGCACCCGAACGTTTGATGTTCTCTCACCTGGAAGTATGGCGCGCCTCTGTTTTTGGGGGCCACGTGGGCGCTCCAGCAGGAAGAACCGAGGCCTCTAGGAGTTTAAAGTCTCTTACCCGAGGCTCCTCAGGGCCTTGACTTTGGGACTGTGGTATCTTAGCAAATCCTCTGGTGTCCCTCAGTCCTGCCCTGATTTAGACGTTTTAGTCAAAGGAAAAAAAGGCTTTTGTTGTTCCCACCGACCCCATTCCCTTCCTCCCCCAACCTCTGACCAACTGAAGTAAAAAGCGCCTATAATTTATGGCTTAATCATAAATTCTAAATAATTATACTTTATTACCTCTCATGGGTCTTGAAACGTAGGTGCTATGTTCTGCTTTCTGCCGAGGCGAGGGAATGACACAGAAACGGCAATAAATTAGG